TTAGAATCACTTGTCTAGGAAAATGAGAGCATAGCGTGTACGTATATTCATGTTTATGCAGAGTTATATTGTATTTTTTATTTATTTTTTTACAATATTTTACAGTAGTTTCATTATTATTATGTATCGATTATGTAACCCTGACCCATGACTGTAGCCCTGACCCCCGGCTGTAGCCCTGACCCCCGGCTGTAGCCCTGACCCCCGGCTGTAGCCCTGACTCCCGGCTGTAGCCCTGACCCCCGGCTGTAGCCCTGAGCCCTGACTATAACCCTGACCCCTGGCTGTAACCCTGACCCCTGGCTGTAACCCTGACCCCTGGCTGTAACCCTGACCCCTGACTATATCCCTGACCCCTGACTATAACCCTGACCCCTGGCTGTAACCCTGACCCCTGGCTGTAACCCTGACCTCCGACTGTAACCCTGACTTATGGAAGGATGACCTAATTGATACAATACAATTTCCAACATGGATACGTCATCATAACCATTTGTTTCGCGGCGCCTAACCCATCCTTGTACTGTAGGTTCGCTCACTCTAGTTCGCTGTGCTATGTCAGCGTTATGTGTACCCTCGTTGAGAAGGGTAAACATCTTGCGACGTCTCCCTGGTAATTCCTCACTCCCTTCGATGTAAGATCCACTCAGTTCACAACATCAACTCACTCTTGTAATATAAGATATGAAACCTCGGAGGAATCACATCGTTCGAAAACGTGTATACTAATTCATACTCAAAGGTCGCAGATAGAATTACCAACCACTCAGAAACAGTATCAGCGACATTGCTCGGAAAGCCTCGAATCACATCAGCCCCGTGGTTAACGATACTCTTTTCGGGAACTGCATGGCTGCCTCCGTTTGCGTTATTCCACGAGAGCGATTTTTATGTGGTCTTCATTTATCAGTTATATGGCTCACTAAACTAACCTACACAAATTATGCTTAATCAGGATGAAACTACGCATACCATTAGTGCCTCCAGCCCGGAATATAAATATGTATTAGAGACACCAGCATGTAGCTCTATTTGCTCCGAGCATAGGCAACAGGGTTGTAAGCCCTAAATGTTAGTCACCTGCAGTTAAGATTCAGGAGAGTACAGCTACGGAACTCTATGTTCATTATTATATAGGAAGACATGAAAAAAAAGAATCATTATATATCGTTCTTGGGTCAAAATTTCAGTTGTTGTACTCTATGGAATCTTTAAATCACCTGCCCTATGTATAATTAATAGCGCAAATAGCGTCGAGTATTAGTAATAGCGCATTATTCTGTCCGATTTTGTACTAATTTTTTCCAGTTGTGGATATACGCATTAGGCAGATAATAATACTTTAGTTAACCATTTTTAAGTTTTCTCTCATACTACTGACTCATAGATTGTGTAAACGGGGGGACTAAATTATTTTATATGAATCTACGTTAAAAGGCCAATTTAAAGTAGATTTAAAGTACATATTTAAATGACAGGACTTTTTACAGAGTTTTGAATAACGGAAATTAATGCTTGTTTAGTGAGGGAGGTTAGGACAATAATGTACGGTGTACTGTAAGGATGAAGATGTGAATTCAATGCGACGAAACGTAAATCTGATTAAACTTAAAATACAATGTAATATACAGCATAAGAATGAGTCACATGAAGAGTTTAAATAGAGAGAAGTACAAAATATAATCTCCACTGATGTCTCAGGATTAACTATTAAGATCTTCGTTAAAATTTGTGTTTATACATAGAATGGAAATCAGGTTAAGAAGCATAGGAAAATACAAAACATATTATATATATATATATGTTAGGATAGACGCAGCAGTAATACCACTAACGACAGGAACTACAGCGGTAAAACATATGCTGGCCGGCAACACGAGTTATCCTTGAATCTACATAAACAAAACTGGTAGGTGTCCCAGTGGCGCAATCGGTTAGCGCGCGGTACTTATACGACAGTGTCTGAGCCATGCCGAGGTTGTGAGTTCGAGCCTCACCTGGGACAAGTGCTTTTAAGGGTGGTGGTGGTACACTACGCCTGTACCATTGCGTACCCAGTTTGAACTCATGATATTACGTGATATCCACTGTGAACCTGCCAAGCACAACAGTGTCATTACGCTACTAACGGCACGTGAATTGATAATGAGACAGTTTATTTATAGTCAGGAAAATAAAGAAACATAGTGGGAAAATCAGAACAGTATTGACATGATTATCTTAGTCGGTTTGTATCACTCATAGGGCAGACAGACATAGTGCCACCTCCCTCCCCGACCACAGCTTTCCCTGAGTTTACTTTCGCTTTTCCCTTTTCATTCATACACACGATTTTGTATTCTTTACCTCTATTAAAATAAAAGGGAGTGTCTGTCTGTCTGTGAATGTGTGTGTCTGTATGTCTGTGTTCCGGCTATAGTTCCAAAACGGGAGAAGTTAGAGAACCTGAAACTTCACACAAACACTGTACACTTGTTGGCATTGTCTTAACTACCTGGGTGAGATAAACACAACATACACTTACTAACATTACACCCGAGTACTCAGTCCGTCTGAATCTTGACCTGAACCCCCACAGAGTAAGGATAAAGTCTGAGTGTGAAGCACCTTAACATTTTCACAATCAGACTTTATTCCTTCTGATTTTCAGGTTCCAGTTTATTGCAAGTCTTAAAATATAGTAATTAATTAGGGTTCTGGAAAATAAAATAAAATACCCTTTATTATATGTCTTCAATCTGACGACACACTAGAGAATTATTCCTCAACATTCTGGGTACATCTTGGTCAACGTTCACTCCTGTACTGTGTGTCTCCTGAGGTCTCTGCACTTCAGGATTCCAACTATATCTTGTTCTCTGGCGAAGCAGGACCAGAATGGCTCACCAGTATACTGTAGCTCACCAGTATAACCATAAACTAGCTTTGGTCTGTACCGGGAGTAAAGTATATCGTCATTACAGAAAAGCTCAATGTACACTACACTATACTGAACAGTCTTGTATGAAATAATAAATCATCATGTTTATGTAAATCCATTACCTCTTGTATATCGAACCGGTTTGTGTGAATGAGTATATCAGTATTGTATAACATATATGTATACTGTACCAATATACTGTAGTTCAAGCCTATAAGTGTAAACGAGGAGATTTGACTTGATATGACTTGATGCCCTCCAGCCAATCCTTGATCACTAAACCACACCTCAGTAGTGTCGCCAATGTTGTTGTGTCTACCCGCCACCTCACCACGGTCATCAACACGTGTGGGTTTTTTTTTATCCATGTTTTACCCGAAGAGAAGTTTCATCTACAGTAACGTTAAAGAAAGACGCGGCTCATGACAACAACTCCTGGATGAGTCAAGGAATGGTTGCGTCTGTGTGTGTTTTAGTTATAATCGTCAAAAACAAACCCTGTATAGCGGAGTTGTTTTTGTCCTGTGTAGTAGAGATGCATTTATAGATATTGGAGATGTTTGTAAAACTTAATGGCCATTTTATACATACTTACAGTACATGTATACATTTCAAAACGATAACATGATGTTTCATTTTGTGATAAATATTTCGTCGCTGCTAAACGTCAAGCAGCGAGTTTGTCAAGTTTCATTTAAAACAACTTTCCTGATTTTTATATATAACGATGAAATAATATTTATAATTTGATTGAGTTAGTCAGCTCAACATCCGTCTATAACTAACTGACTAATGATGAATTTTCCGCGTGAGGGCGTTATTACTCTTAAATTCTTTTCATCATGTACGCTTCACTAACACTCAGAAGGCCACTGTACCCTCCCCGCCACCACACCTCATATATTGATTACTTCCCACCATGATGTATTCCTCCTACGTTATATTTGGTCTCCTAATAAATATCAAGTGACTATATCTAACTAAACCAAAGTCTCAGTTTAACGTTGACACTATATCGGACCTTACAGTTGTGTAATTATCGTAAGTCCACCAGTTATAGTGAACCTTACTAACATCTTCATTAACCACTGATATTGATCGTAAGGAGTGGAGGAAGATCTGCCTTTATAATATTTGGATGGATATTTACAGTAGTGTGTGTATGTGTGTATGTGTGTGTGTGTATGTATGTATGTATGTATGTATGTGTGTGTTTTTGAGTGTGAGACATATCTATGTGTATCGCAAGAGCTTACACATCATGTACGTCTGTGTGCGTGTATATCATCATGTGCACATCTATTGCGCCACCAGGCCGCCCTTGTACGCCCTCCAGCCAGCTGCAGTTGCCAGTTAGTTAAGTTTCTGTGACCTTAACGTTATTGTCTTGTCGTGTGTGTGTGTGTGTATGTGTGTGTGTGAAAATCAGTGTCATGCTAACTTTGTGCTTAGGAATGTAAACATGTATAGTATTCGAAAGTTAAAGGTTAGCAATAAACTTAATTTTACACACGCACACAGCATGACCCAAGCATCTTTGACCCACTCATTTGACCTCTTAATCTTTGCTTGCCACTGAATCATTCATTACAGGGCTTGACACTGCACCGACTACCCTAGCAAGTGTTATTTTAATATATTAAGTGTGTCTTATTCTTTGCGGTCACCACCTAGTGTGTCATATCCTAGCGCAGTGGCTAGCTTATTGTGCATCCCTTACAGTTTATGTAGGGCGAGTCACTGCGCACGGTGACAGGGGTTCAAGATCACCAGATGTCCCTTAAAGATAGCGTGTATCATGGTCAAGAGAGAGAGAGAGAGAGAGAGAGAGAGAGAGAGAAATATTGAACATAGGTAAGAAGGGGCAGCCAGGTAGGAGGGAGGGAGAGAGGAATGAGGGAAGAAGGGCGTAAAGGAGCTTGAGGGTGGGAGGGAGGGAGGGAGGGAGGGAGTGAGTGTATGCCAAGTGGTCAGGTAGGAGGGACCTGACTCTCCTCTACACCCTCAGTGATTCTGTCTGGTGAGCGGCGTCCTGGTGAGATCTCTTAAACGTCTTGGTGATCTTGGGTAAGAAACGTCCCTGAGAAGATCATTTACAACCTGAATTGGTGATCTGATTGTTAACGCATTTGGTGAAGTTTGGTGAGAAAAAAAACTATCGTGGTGAGATGTGTTTTGTCTCGTGGTGAACTGAAGTGAGGTGAATAGTGATGAGCTTCGTAGTGAGATGTGTTATGGCGTATTGATTAAGTTGTATGGTAAGTATTTTGGTGAACATAGCTACTTGGTGAGATTTATGAAGTACCAGATTCGCCCTTACTTCTGCCTGGTGATCTTAGATGTTGAACGTCGTGGTGAGGTCTTCTAGTATTCTCAGTGAGATTTAGTGACGGTTATCTTGGTGTGCATTTTGGTGATTAGTATTGGTGACACACACACACACACACACACACACACACACACACACACACACACACACACAGACAGACAGACAGGTAGATTGCCAAATAAACAGACAGACAAACAGAGGTAGAGAGAGACAGAGACTTGGTGATGAAGGAGAAGAAGGCCTGGTGTTGATAACCTGAAGATGACTTGGTGATAATTAGCAGGACTCCACTGGTAAAGCCTGGTGAGGGGTGAAATGGTGAGGCTTGGTGAGGAAGATTTTGGTGACGTATCATAGAGAACGTAATGGTGATGCCTGACCGAGATGGTGAGGAGGGAGAAGATACGTGGGAGGTTGGGGGTTGCGGGAGTCGTGAGTGAGGAAAGTGAGTAAGGTCGTGAGAAGAGGGAGGGGGGGATGGGGTCGTGAGTCAGAAAGTGGGAGAAGAGGTCGTGAGAAGAGGGAGGGGGATATAAAAACGTATACGAGATCAATCGTGAATGATATCAGCCAGTGTTATGACGATATCTTTAAGTATTGTTGATATCTGCCCGTGTAATAATTCATATAAATTAGGATCATCTGAAGATTAACCACCCCAGCCTATTTCCCATGATGAGTAAACACACTAATGCTACCTAGGGTGTTAGGTTAGGTTTAGTTAGGTTAGGTTAGGTTAGGTTAGCGTTAGATGTGTAAGACTCAGGTGAAGTAAGGTGGGGGTACTTAATCTTCAGGTGATCCGACATTTGTTTAAATTTAGGAATTAAATATGGAGCAAACCTTCAAGGTCATAACAGAATACCTGGAGGAGGAGTCGAGTAACTGTCAGGTCTCTCTCACCTTCCCGACGGCGGTGGCCTCTACCTCCTGGCCTCTGTACCCAGAATTCATCTATTTGAGAAACTGGTTTAGTTTTGATCAGTATCTTATTTCGATCACCTGTTCTGCCGATGTTGTGATACTGTTGACATCAGATCCGGTCAAGCTGTAGGGGTGACTATATAAGAGGTTAATGGATGAAGTAAGATGGTAGGATTATAAGGGAGTTTCGCTAGAGCTGAGTATGTTACAGGTGTTCACAGTCACACGTTATCCAGCCATTGTGACTACGTATACTTGTCATTGAAAGAAAAACTCTATTCCAACCTTTGTAAAACTCATACAACTCGTAGATAAACTTGTGCCTTAGATCCCATGTCATTATATATTTACTTCCTGTGTTATTTGTATATTTTCAACAGTTTTCGTTTTTCTGATTTTTTATCTTCTCTTACTGTGGGATTTTAGTGATCATGGGGGAGCACTTTTTTTTTCTCACACTCTTCTTTGTCCCTCCAGCAGGAAGATGAGGCTGATGTGTCCCTTGAGGCTCAGTGCCTGTGTCCTGCTCAATTCTTCTACAAGACCAGGCAAGAGAAGTGACTTGAAATTCAGTGTTAGGCTTCGGTCTACTGAGACGACCGTTCCATGGAGCCGGATAAAGCAGAGGCACATACCTAGTGACAACCTCCTAATGAAGACCACCCTGAGCCCTATTAACACCAGGGCTCCCTCAGGTCTCTTCATACAGGGAGGTCATGGACGACTTAAAAGCAATGTGGCTTCAGGAGAACAAGACCTTGGACCACCTCTTCCCTACACCGCCATCCCAGGACCTCGACCCCTTCCTGTCATCGGCAACAAGTTCCTGTTTACTTCCCTAGGTGAGTCCCGCCCTAGGTGAGTCCCGCCCTAGGTGAGTCCCGCCCTAGGTGAGTCCCGCCCTAGGGGAGTCCCGCCCTAGGTGAGTCCCGCCCTAGGTGAGTCCCGCCCTAGGTGAGTCCCGCCCTAGGTGAGTCCCGCCCTAGGGGAGTCCCGCCCTAGGGGAGTCCCGCCCTAGGGGAGTCCCGCCCTCGTTGAGTCCTGCCCTTAACATAACCTGGCCTTTATTCACCCTTAACTGACCTAACCTAACGTAACCCATCCTAATCTAAATCTAAACTAACCTAACTTAGCCTTGCCTAACTTAATCCATCCTAAACTAAACTAAACTTAACATCACTGAAGCTAAACTTACAACCCATTCTAATATAATTTAACCAAACGCAACAACAATGTATGCGTTTCTGTTTTCAGTAAATGAATAAAGTCGATTAAAGCTGTTCCGTTCGTGTGATATTTTTCCAACACTGTACAAAAGACCTTCAGTGTGAATTGATCTGTCTACTATGCCCCGCCTTCTTTTTCGGCGTCCATAGCAACCCCCTAGCAACGTTAACTCTTTGAGGATGCTGATTGGTTTATGTCAGCTCGCAGGTAAACAAAGACCGGGCGTAGAGGGATTTCATTGGCCCATTAGTTAAGAGGTGGGCGGAGCCATCGTTTGGTCAACGGGTAATGATATATTATTATAAAGATTTTAATTGGTTATGAAAGTTTAGAAGGTAAAAAGTGGTAGAATAGCAGTTAAAGTTAGGGATATAGAAGAGGGAAGGAGGGCGAGGGAGATAGAAAGCGGGAGAGAGAGAAGGGGAAGAGAGAAGAGAAGAGAGGTAGAAGGAACGAGAGGAGAGATGAAGAACAGAGGGAAGGAGTGGAGAGGAGAGATGATCGAGGGAAGAAGAGAAGAGAGAGAGTAAATAGTAATAAAAAGGGAAGGAGAGAGAGAGAGGTTGACATAGATGGAAAGAGGAAGGAGAAAGGGAAGGAATTGAGTAACGAGGAGAAAGATTTAGAGACAGATAGCGAGATGGATAAATAAATGTATATATAGAGAGAAAGGTGGTTATATACAGAGAAATATGGATATAGATAAAGAAGAGAGGGAGAGAGAGAAAGAGGAGGAGAGAGAGAGAGTATTTTTTACAACATTGTTATGGTCACTTCAGTTCCGAGGAAATCAGTAAGAGGCCACCCACACATCACGGCCAGAGATGGTCTACCTCAGCGTGGGGGTGGTGGCGGTAAGGAGTAAGGGGGGGGGGAGTAAGGAGGGTGAGGTTAGGGGGTAAGGAGGGGTGGGGAGTATGGAGGGTGAGGTTAGGGGGTAAGGTTGGTGGCCAGTCATTTTCTACTTCAAGATGCTTCACATTTCCCCCACCATTTCCTCAATTTCCCCAATGTGGGTTACAAAGCTTCAAGTTATTTCCCTTCATGTATAGCGAATCCGCTTGGTCAAGACTCATGGGTCATTTAAGTTCACATGTCGAAAAGATCGTAAATGACACAGTTATTACATTAAAAGTTTCAAATTTAAGTTCTGAAGAAGAGAATTAACAAGGGTAGATAATTTTTTTCTTACTTCATTTCATGCATTTGACACTTCCTGAAGGAGGTTCGATGATTCGTTGGTTCATTTGTTTACTGGTTCAATGGTTCACGTTTTTTATTAGTTCACGGTTCCATTGTTTTACAGTTTCATTACCTCACGGTTTCATTGGCTCACAGTCTCATTACCTCACAGTTCCATTGCCTCACTGATTCATTGGCTCACTGACTCTTTGGCTCACAGTTTATTGGTTCGTTTTATGGAGATTTTTTTTTAATTAGGGTAAAAATAAGCCATCATAATAGCCTCCGAGAAATCTAATTACGTTATTTTTATCTGGGCCAAAAAATTTATAGAAATGAGTAATCGCGAAAAATATTTGGGCGGTCTTCAACTTGACCCGAGAAACTAATTTGAAGAAGAGACGTCGTAAAGAATCTTCATATTGTCATCTAATTTTTCCGTCTTGTGATCTCTCTCCTCCTCTTCCTCTGCCTCCCCTTTTTCTTCTTCTTTTTCTTTCTCTTTTTCCCTCCTCCTTTTCCTCCTCTTCATTTCTTTTTCTATTCTTATTCTTCCACCTTCTTTTCCTCTTCCTCCTCTTCATCCTCCCCTTCTTCGTCCATTTCTTCTTCTTCCTTCTTTTCCTATTCTCTTGTCCTTCCTTTTCCTTCTCCTTGATCACCTTCATTTTATGACTCTCTCTCTCTCTCTCTCCTCCTTTTATTTCTTCTCTCTTTTGTTCCCCCTTTCATTCCTCACGTTCACCTTCTCGTGCAGTTCACTCTGATCTCATAAGACCTATATCTACCTTTCTCTCAGCACCTGCCTTTCTCTCAGCACCTGCCTTTCTCTCAGCACCTGCCTTTCTCTCAGCACCTGCCTTTCTCTCAGCACCTACCTTTCTCTCAGCACCTGCCTTTCTCTCAGCACCTTTCTCTCAGCACCTGCCTTTCTCTCAGCACCTGCCTTTCTCTCAGCACCTGCCTTTCTCTCAGCACCTACCTTTCTCTCAGCACCTACCATTTCATCCCAGCAATTCACACACTCATCCTAGAAACTCTACTTTCTCTCAGCACCTGCCATTTCATCCCAGCAATTCACACACTCATCCTAGAAACTCTACTTTCTCTCAGCACCTACATTTCATCCTCCCCTCCACCTCTTTCTAGGAGTTGAGCTGAGAAGAAAAGTCCAAAGCGAGACTCAAATATTTCTTCCTCAGGTATTTCGGTAAACAAGAAGACAGCTTATATTCCCGCAGACATTACTGTTGATTTTAGTGGCCTTAACTACCAGGGTGATTAATCATTGTTTACTTGGTCTTTGGTGCTTTAACTACCAGGGATATTAAGCACCGTTCACTAGGTCTTAGTTTTAGGTGAATTAACTACCAGGGTTATTAAGCATCGTTCACTAGGTCTACAGTAACAATATACATCACTCCTCGGCAAAGTAAAAAACACTAAATTCAAGTTTATGTCAAAGGTCAAGGTCAAAGCTATATGAGGTCAGAGGTCAAGCAGGTAGAGGTATAATAAGAACCATCTTAAATTCTGATTACGGACATGACTCCTGTGCTAGTCCCCCCCCCCCCTCTCTCTCTACCTCTCCTCTCTCTCTCTCTCTCTACTCTTCTACCTTCTGATTTATTTTCTTACAAAAAAGTGCAGGCACCTTACACGGATGATTGAGTCGCTTTAATGTTACAACCTTTGTATCGTTACAGCAGCTATTTGCCTCGTTACAGCAGCTATGCTATTTACGTAGCTCTTTACAGCTATTTGTTTCGTTACGGCAGCTATTGTCTCGTTACGACAGCTATTTGTCTCGTTAAAGGCAGCTATTATTTCATTACAGCTATTGCCTCGCTGCATCAGCTATTGTCTCGTTACAGCAACTATTTGTCTCGTTACGTAACATTTGTCTCGTTACAGTAGCCATTTGTCTCGTTACAGCAGCTATTGTCTCGTTACATTGTGTCGTTACAGTAGCTATTTGTCTCGTTACAAGCTATTGTCTCGTTACAGCGCTATTTGTCTTATTTCTCGTACAGCAGCTATTTGTCTGTTATTGTCTCGTTACAGCAGCTATTTGTCTCGTTACAGCAGCCTACAGTCTATTACAGTATTTGTCTGTTGTTACAGCTATTTGTCCTACACAGCAGCTATTGTGTGGCTCGTTACAGCTATTTGATATAGTAAAGGCAGCTATTATTTCTCTATTGCTGCATCAGCTATAAGCTATTTGTCTCGTTACAGTAGCAATATTTGTGGGTTACAGTAGCTATTTGTCGTTACGTATTTGTCTCGTTACAGCAGCTATTTGCTCCTCGTTATTTGTCTCGTTACAGCATGTTGTCTCGTTACAGTCTATTTGTCTCGTTCAGCAGCTATTTGTCTCGTTACAGCTTTGTCTCGTTACTATTTGGTTCGTGTACGTAGCTATTTGTTCTCGTTACAGTAGCTATTTGTCTCGTTACAGTAGCTATTTGTCTCGTTACAGCAGCTATTGTCTCGTTACAGCAGCTATTTGTCTCGTTACAGTAGCTATTGTCTCGTTACAGCAGCTATTGCCTCGCTGCATCAGCTATTGTCTCGTTACAGTAGCTATTGTCTCGTTACAGTAGCTATTTGTCTCGTTACAGTAGCTATTTGTCTCGTTACAGCAGCTATTGTCTCGTTACAGTAGCTATTTGTCTCGTTACAGTAGCTATTGTCTCGTTACTACAGCTGTATGTCACTTCATCACTTTGAGATGTATTATTTTATCTCAATAATCGTATCACTCAGTCTTTATTGCTTTAAGTTCCTCTATGAAACAAAAGAGGTTAGATTTGGTCAGGTTACACAAGATATCTCAACGATAAACACACCTGAGATCACTTAACTATCACTAACGAGTTTCATTATCAACTCTATAAAACACTACAGGCATAAATCGTGTTTTAAAATCTAACTCTACAACCTGTATTCTTCCCCCTAATTCCCGTATGACTCTCGACTACATCAAGATTATTCACTAATTATCTAAAACACTATGTGGTCTTGGTGTTCCAGGTGGGTACCCCATGGAGAGGTTCTGGGACTCATCCTGGAAGCTGTACAACAAATTTGGTCCCATCGTCAGGGTCACAAAATTCGCTGGTGATCTGGACATGGTGATAGTGTTCCGCCCAGAAGACACCGCCAAAATATACCAGGTAAGTTGGGTCTAATCACTCCAGGTACAGGTACTTTCAGGTGCTCTCAGGTATTCTCAGGTACTCTAGATGGTCCTAGTTCTTTCATCATCACTTAAGTGGCAAAAATAATGTAGGGAAATCACACGTAATTAATCTAGTTACCTTTGAGTTTCTGTGTAATTTAATCATTTTAGTGGTCAAGGACAGAGCCATCTTGTGTCGTAGCGGCGAACCAATGGGACATGTTTTCACGTTACTAACTGGGGGAGATGGAGAGGAGACTGGAAGAGAAACACAAGATGAAGAAGAACATGGGAAGTGAGGTGGATTTGAGGTGGTGGAGGTTGGAGGTGATGAAAGAAGGCGGTTGGAGGAGACGAAGAGAAGACAGGGGTTGGGTGTAAACGGGACTACCCAGTATGGGACAGTTGGCATCGCTACAGTTTCCTCCATTCTTATGTTCTTATGTTATTAAGAGAAGATAAAAGATAAAGAAAAAACACTCTCTCTCTCTCACTCAATAACACACACACACACACACACACACACACACACACACACATCTATCATTCAAATCATTCAATTCCTCTCAATAATTCCAGTAGCCTTGTCTTCCCAGTATTTCTTGAAGGTGTTAACTTGGGACACTGTTTGCTCGCTGGCAGGCTGAGGGTCGCTTACCTGTACGACCTGGGTTGGACATTCTCACCTACTACCGCGCCAGCAGACCCACCTGGTTCTCCTCACCTGGACTCGTACCTGGGTAAGTGTGTGGGGGGTAAAGGGGGGTGGGTATGTGTGTATGTTGGTGAAGGTATTGTTGAGTTTGTGTAGGTGGGTATGTGTGGGTGTGTTTGTTTGTATGTGATTCATTTATTTTTGTATCGTTCTTGTGTATGCTTTATCATTGTGTATGTCTATTATCCTTGTTTATTTATGTTCTACGTGTTCTTATCATCAAATGCTCTCTATTCCTGTCTTCAAGCTGTCATTGTTATGGTGATTGTTGTGTTGTGTTATCTACGAGTTATTGTTATTTTTATTTCATGTATTTTTTTTACTTTGTTGTTGTTGTTAGGATTTTTATTATTCTTTGTTTTCTTCTCTATCTTCTTCTTCTCCATTTCTTTTACCTTTCTTTTATTTCTTCTTATCTATATATCTTTAACTTTTGTTTTGTTTCTTCTTATCCATTTTTTTTATTTTCTTCTATATTATTTACATTTGCTTATCTTCTTCCTCTTTATCTTCTTTGTCTTCTCGTCCTCCCCCTTCCTATCTTTATTTCTTCTTTCCATTTTCAATGTTCATCTTTTTTCCCGGACTTTGAACCTTTGTATCTCATTTTGGTAACCTAACCTAACCATACAATTTTGACCAGAGAGAGAGAGAGAGAGAGAGAGAGAGAGAGAGAGAGAGTTTTCCTTCCTTCCTTCCTTCCTTCCTTCCTTCCTCCCTCCCTCCCTCCTTCCCTCCCTCCCTAGACGACGGCGACAGCCACTTAGCACCTCGTCGAGTTGTGGGTTTTTACCTGTTAGGGTCAATAACTCGGGGTCAGGGTTAAAATCAGGGGTCAGGAG